CAAAATCTGGAACCAAGTCTTAAATTTTTTCGGCTACAACTAGGTGTTTCCTAAAAGCATAAAAAATTTTGTGTGGCAATGGCAAGGGAGAGGGCTAGGTCAAAAGGGTGAACTCTATTGGAACACGGTGGCCCAAGCAGTTATGTGGGGTGTTTGCAAAGAACGAAACAATCACATTTTTAACAATAAAGCTAGAGCCATGGAAGACCTAAGCTTCATATCTCTCACTTGTGCAATTTGTTGGTGCTGAATTCAGAGATGTACAAAGATTTCTCTCTAAACATGTTTCAGCAGAATTTAGTGGAACTGCTGTTCTCTTCACCTAGTGCCTTAAGAGCTACCAGCCTTTCCCAATCAAGAGAAGAGGAGGTGACCTTGTACTTTGATGGAAGTGCTCTAGGGAACCCGGGTTTAGCTGGATTTGGTGGTGTATTTAAGAGGAGGGATGGTAGTCCTTTGTGGTTCTTTAGTGGAACAATAGGGACTGCAGACTCTACAATGGCTGAAGTCCTAGCAGTGCTAAATGGCCTCCGTATCACAAGAACTCTAGGCTTTACCAACCTGGTGGTCAAAGGTGACTCTAGGAACACGATAAAGTGGCTCAGGGCGAAGGAAGGTGGACCTTGGAGACTGGCTCACTACCTGGATGAGGCTAGAGATCTATTATACTCTTTGAATGCAACTTTAATCTGGATTCCCAGGACTCTAAACTCTGTAGCAGATAGTTTATCCAAGTCTGGTGAACACAGGGAAAACCTTTATGTGATAGTATTATGCCTTTGTACCCTGTGTGAGGCTAGCCTTATTTGTACATCATCTCATGTACTCTTTCTTTCTCTTTAATAAAGTTACTCTTTTTCTCAAAAAATTAAAGTGAGGTAGAAGGGAAAAGAAGAGAGATAGAGAAAAAAAAGAGAGAAGAACAAATTATAATTAGGCATAGAAACCCTTTCCATTACATACCACTCAACAATACAAAGAAAATGACCAGTATACCCTGGTTCTGCTCATCCCTATAACAGCACTAATAAACAAAGAAAATGAAGTCTTTGCTTTTTAGGGTAAATTTCAGATAGGTACTCTATACTTTGGGGTATCCTCATTGTCTGAACTTTCAAATGTGCCACTTTACTACCTGAACTTCCAGAAATATACATTTAAATCCAACTCCGTTAAACTAACGTTACGGTAAGGGGTAAAATTATGAAAATGCCATGTTCTGACTTTTTTTTTGCTATTTATCTTTCTTCTACCTTTGGGATTTGGATACAAACCAACAGTGGTAAAGTAAGCATTTGAAAGTGAGACTACCCCCAATGAACAGACTGGGGTGAGCTTACTTTGCTGCTGTTGGTTTGTGTCAAAGTCCAAAGGTAGAAGAACATGAATAGTGAAAAAAGAGAATCAGATTCATGGGCATTTTCATAATTTTTCCCCTCATTGTAACATTAGTTTAATGAAGTTGGGTATAAATGTATATTTCTGGAAGTTTAGGTACTAAAGTGGCATATTTGAAAGTTCAGGCCCTAAAATGAGACTACCACCTAAGTACAGGGTACCTATTTCCAATTTACCCTTAAGAGTGCCTAACCATTTGATGCGGTCCCATTGACCTAAAAGAACTTCTATATTCTTATTTTATGCCTTATTTCTATTTTCTACAATATCACCTAACCACATCACATGACAAATCCTTAAAGCAACAAATCTACATATAACAAAAAGGCCATTCTAGCATTACCCAATGTTGGTCCCAACTATATGGGGTCTTGGGAGGGGTGAACTGGATACAGTCCTAACCTTTGACATTTTTCACACAAAGTGGCTGCTCTGATACTCAAACCCGTGTTCTCATACTTGACAGCCCAAGGCCATTACAGCAAGTAAAAGCATACATATAACAAAATAAAAGTATATATAACATCTATTCTAAATAGTTAAGGATAAAAAACTGAAAATGATCCAAACATAAATACAATCAGAAAATCCAAAACATAGAATCCTTAGATATGATAGAGTAATATGAAACGATTTAGCATATGATATTTTTTTTTGTTTTTTTTTTTTGCAGAGTACTGAAACTCACCAAACGAACTCCAAATGCTTTTGCAACTCCTGCAACTGAAACATCTGACTGAAAAGGGCCTACACCTCCATATATAAATATCTGCAAAAACAAACAAAGTTGTGGCCCATAGAACGAGACAAAGTTCGGAAAGATTCCCTCACATCACTTTTTTTATTATTTTTTTGGGGGCACACAAAAACAGAGCACTTAAGAAGAATTTTATTAAACCTACCATATCATTGATCAAATTCCTCTTTTCAACTTCTTCAGCCACAGAATCAATCTACATTTGAGGAGAAAAAGAACTACCTTAGATGTATGTTGCACTTACTTACAACACGATATAATTTATTTATTATGACATGAAACAAACTTTGAAAATGAAAAGCAAATGCAGATCCTTAAGTTTGGAACTAACACTACATCCACCATTCCAGGACATGATCCATTTCTGACAAAAATAAGCTGACCAACTTAGTCCAGCTAATTGGAAATTTTAAAAGAAACTTAGTATGTATATGTACATAAAGAAAACTGTTGTATCTTATGCAAACTGACTAGTTAGGAGAACAAATTGATATTTAGAAATTCACAAGAATATACCGACCTTCCCTAATGTGCCAGACAAGATTAGAGTTGATCAACAATACAATTTTAATCCAAGCATAAAGGTTTGTAGAAAGGCCAAAGCATTTTCCCCATTTGTTTCCTTTTTCAACTTTTATGAGTATAGAAAGAGAAAACTAACCACTGCTCATATGTCAATATGAAGTATGAAGATAAGATAACACAGACCATTACTCAACCCTCCCAAGCCAACATTCTGACCACAAGATGGTTAAAAATTAAGCCATGTAAAAGAAAAGTCATTTCTTTCATTCCTCCTTTGGTAAGTAAAAAAGGAGTTACACTGAAAGAGATACAAATGAACTGGTTCAATGAGAGACTTCCCATATAGAAGTTGTCTATCTTAAATGGTTCCATAAAAAAATAAAAAGATAAAAAAATAAACTGATAAATCTTGGCATTATATTTTGCAATGCAATCTTTGCATTTGACGTATATGACAAAAATAATCAAGTTTCTCCTACCTGTCCTCAACTTCCAAATATGAAATTATGCATTATAATTCAATATAATTTAGCAATTGGAAAAACTTCAATGACCATTTTGTAATCTGAAGAGCTATACTCGAAGTAGCAAGGAGGAGAAGAGAACCACAGAACTGAAGAGA